CCCCTATCCTGTAGATCAGCTCCACTCACCAAGTTCGTAGAGAACGAGGGGAGGTAGAGACCTGACAGGGTGCCAGAGGGGGCTGCCGAGCACGGTAAGACAGTGGAGAAGCTAGCAAGGACAGGACCCCCAGAGGGGTCCGCCAGGGAGACCGCAACCGGCCGACTAAGCGGCGTAAGTGTGGTGCGGTCTCGAAAGAAGGAGCGGGAAGCACCCGAGTCAAGGGTGAAGGTGTGGAAGGCCTGAGCCGACGTGGTACCTGAGAGAGCAGACTCACTAGCACCTGGGGAAGCAGACGCACTAGCACCTAGAGCAGCAGCCTCACCAGTACCTAGAGCAGCAGCCTCACCAGTACCTAGAGCAGCAGCCTCAATGCCCGGGTCAGGCGGAACACACAGGTAACAGTCACCCTCAACACTATCACATACAGCATACATGGCAGCAAGAATAGCATCATAATCAAGATCAAAGATAGCAACCCCCGCCCTAGACAGCTCTCCCCAGCGAGGGATCTCAGTGGCGTCAGGGAACTGGTGACGCCACGCGTCCGTCAGGCGGCCGAAGCATCGCTGGGTGGAGTGCGGGCCCCCGCACTGCTCACCAGCGCGGTCGCCGGTACGGAGGACGTAGGTGCAGGGACCAGTACCCCCACCTCGCTGACGCGCAGCGTACCACTCACGAAGCTGCTGAGGGGACAGGGTCGCACGACTGCGCTGCTGCTGCTGGCGCGGACCACCTCCGGACCCACTCCTCTGCGCAGAGCCGCGACCAGCTCCACCGCTGCCGCCGCCACCTCCGCCACCTCCGCCGCCTCCGCCACCTCCGCTCCCTCCGCCATCGCCGCCGCCTCCTCCGCCTCCACTGCTGCCACCTACACCTCCACCCCCGCCACCATTCCCACCACCACCCCAACCCCCTCCACTACCTCCACCACCACCTCCACCGCCCCCGCCAGCCCCTCCAGTGCCCTTGCCCCCCTTGCCCTTGCCGGTGCGGCGTCTCCCGCTAGGGGTAGACGCAGCGCCGACCGACTCGAAACCTTCGAGGTCGGCCGCAGCAGCAGAAGCAACAGAGGGCAAGAGGGGGGAAGGGGAACACCCCTCAAAAAGCGAGGGTCACCACGAGAGGCTCCGACAGCGACTATGCTCGTCTCTGCTGCTAGGAGGCGCTCCTCGAGGAGGTCAACGGTGAGTGTGGTGGGGCAAACTGAGAGGAAGTGGTCCCTGACTAAGCGAAGGGAGTCAGGGAGCCGGGTGACTATATAGTAGAGGGTGATGTACATGGGGGGGGGGGTTCTTGGCACAGAACTCAGCAGGAAGCGCAGCGCGGTAGCGAGTGTCACTAGTGCGAAGGTGCGTAATGAGGTCAGCGACTGTGGGAAAGGCAGCAAGGTCAGGGAACAGGTACGGCAGCATGAGGCGGCTAAGCGCAACAGTGGCAGGGGAAGAGTAGCGCGTAACTACAGCGTCGTACAAGGTCTGAGCACTCTTGTACTGGCTAAAGTGCGCACGCTCAGTGGTCGGTAAGTGGCGACGCACAGCAAGACGGGCAGCAGCATCGCGTGTGGCCCACTGTGAGCGAACCGTGCTGTCAGCAGTAGCAGGCGGGGCAGGAGAGGCACCAGAGGTGAGATCGAACAGGGAGAGTCCGTCAGCCCTATCGCACTGTAGGAACAGCTGGAGGTCATCGACCCAGACCTCAAAGTCTACAGCACGACCCTCAGCATCAAAGGTAAGGACACTGGGGGTAGCCATGACTGCAGTGGCCTAACAGAGAGTGATCTCACCAGTCCGAGGAAGTAGGGCCGGGGCGCGCCGGTAGGAACAGTAGCGGCTCGACAGCAGGGCGGCTCGGCGGCTCAGCTGCTGGGCGGCTCGGTTGGCGGGCGGCTCGGCGGCGCGGCTGCTGGGCGGCTCGGCTGTCAGGCGGCTCGGCGGCTCGGCTGCTGGGCGGCTCGGCGGCTCGGCTGCTGGGCGGCTCGGCTGTCGGGCAGCTCGGCGGCTCGGTTGCTGGGCGGCTCGGCGGCTCGGCGGCTCGGCTGCTGGGCGGCTCGGCGGCTCGGCTTCGAAGGGGCCGGTAGAGGTGGCGTCGGGGCCGCGTAGGGAGGGGAGCAGCGACGGGGCCGCTAGGGGCGGCTACGGGGCCGCGTAGGAGTGGCGTCTGGGCCGCGTAGGGAGGGAGGCGGCGACGGGGCCGCTAGGGGCGGCGACGAGGCCGCGTAGGGGCGGCGACGGGGCCGCTACGGGGCGGCGACGGGGCCGCATAGGGGCGGCGACGGGCCGCGTAGGGGCGGCGACGGGGCCGCGTAGGGGCGGCTACGGGGCCGCTAGGGGCGGCGACGGGGCCGCGTAGGGGCGGCGACGGGGCCGCTAGGGGCGGCGACGGGGCCGTGCAGGGAGGGAGGCGGCGACGGGGCCGCTAGGGGCGGCGACGGGGCCGCGTAGGGAGGGAGGCGGCGACGAGGCCGCTAGGGGCGGCGACGAGGCCGCGTAGGGGCGGCGACGGGGCCGCTAGGGGCGGCGACGGGGCCGCGTAGGGGCGGCGACGGGGCCGCGTAGGGGCGGCGACGGGGCCGCGTAGGGGCGGCGACGGGGCCGTTAGGGGCCGCGAGGGGCCTGGAAGGGCGGCGACGGGGCCGCTAGGGGCGGCACGAGGGGCCGTGAGGGGAGCCTCTAAGAGAGCTCAACAGAAGGGCGGCCCACAAGGCGCGCCTCGGGCAGGAGCGACTGGCGCTCCGGTCAGAAAAAAAAATTCAGTGGTGGTGGGCCCAAGGAAGCGTTCCCACTAGGGAACCTGCTCTATACCATGTGAAGAAATGAGGAATGGTTGAACTAGGAATGTGTGAGATACAAGTATGAAGCTGTACCCCTTAGTGTCTACCCCACTACAGCCTACATAGGCTAAGGCATATAAGTCTGACATACTACTTGACTCTGCTTGTACTGTGATCTATATATATACCTGCATGCTTGCACTTGCTAGGGTATGATCACTGTATTGTTTGTTCTCTTTATACAACTCTGCATGTGAACTGGCCTTGTGGCCCTTTGCTTGTGCTCGGACTGTGTGGTGACTTTGTGATCCACCCTGAGCTTGCTTTGCTTTTCTTGACTGGTCTTGTGACCACTTATTCTCCCCCACTTTGCCTATGGAGGTGTATCATAACATTATAGCTTATACATTTGTGTAGGCTGTAGTGGGGTAGCCCATAAGGGGTACAACCCAATTAGGGTTAGTACTTGTACCCAACTGATTGCTAGTTCATTCATTCTCGTTTGTAACTTTGACAGGTAGTGCAATGAAAATTCATTTTCTTTACTTCGCGTCCCTGCTCAGCGCGTACACCATTGTTCCCGCCAACAGCATCCATCAGTAAACTGTTACCACTCGCGACACTCGCCTTGATACTGTTCCCGCCACTATTCACGACGCGACCCAACCTCACGGTCGGTTGGTAACCCGCCCCCTGGACCTCCGCCTCGACAATTTCCAACCTCGGCGCTAGGCCCGTCGTGCAACCGATTTTCACACATTACCGTTACCACCGTAGTTTCGGTATATATTTTTCGCTCATGCCTTTGCTCATTGTAATCTTGCTTAGATAGTGAAATATTCGTTCGCTCATTCGTAACAATATGCCACATACAAGCTGAAGCCCCCAGCGTGCGAGAACATGGATGCGGAGTGCGCGGGTTTGACCCACTAGCATGGCATTTTGTTCTTCCAACACATACGGAAGCAGGAAATTTTGAACACTCGAGATGTGCGGCTGCGATTCGTTGCAAAATCGCCTTTTGTTAAACAAACACCCAAGCCAAACATAATTGGGAGAGTACATCCCAGCTCCTTAGTCTAAAAAAAATCTCAAATTTAGTCTCAAGTTCACCCAAAAGGTACCACTTTCTAGAATTTCTCTCACGCGAGGCCCAAAGTATGTTCAAAACTGGTCCTGCGGCGCTAACCTTTCGAAACGTGTCCATTTCGCACCAATATTTTTTTGACGGGGCAAAAAAACATAATACCCCTAGGGAAACAAGAGACATTTCGGGGGGGATCAACCCAAACACCGGGCGGGTTCCCGTGTTTAGGGTTGATCCCTCCCCAGAAAGTGTCGTTGTTTGCCTAGGGGTTTTATGTTTCTGCCTCAACAAAAATTCCCACTGTGAACCAGACACGTGTCAAAAGGCTAGCCTTGCAGGACCAGTTTGGAACATACTTCGTGTCTCGTGTGAGAGAAATTCTAGAAAGTGGTACTTTTTTAGTAAACCTGAGGCTAAATATGAGGGAAATCTGAAAGTAAGGAGCTGGGATATACTTTCCCAACATAATTTCCTGTTCAGCATGCTTCACAACTGCTTTTTGAGCGGGCCTACTCCAATGTTTTCCGTGATTCTTAGTTTTCCGTGATTCTTAGTTTTCCGTGATTCTTAGTTTTCCGTGATGTATCTGCTTGCGTCGGACCTGCTCCCACCTGTTACCGGTCTCTGATTGCCTCTTTTAACCCGCGCGCCGTTGCTACTCGCTTCCCGTTGACAGCGGAGCACCTGATGGTGCACGCGCATGGCTCGCGGTACCTGCTCCGCTCAGTCCTACCCAAGCGCTTTCGGCGTTCCATTTTCCAGCATGGGTCGAACACACCCGTCTCGCTCACATTCGCGGCATCGTGTTGTCGCGGCCCCACTGCCTGTTTCTCCGCCTCTCCTGTTCGCTTCCCTCCCGTGCCTCCCCCCCGCCCAACCCCCCCCCCATTTCCCCCGATCGTTCCGCCCCGTCATTCTCCGCAGCTCGCCGCGCTCACGGCGCCTCGGGAGCGTTCGTCAGCACGCAGGCGCTGCTCGCCCTCGCGCTCGCTCTGCTGCTGCTGCGATCCTACATTAGTCGCCAAGGTATCGTACGCTCGTCGCCAAGGTATCGTACGCTCGTCGCCAAGGTATCGTACGCTCGTTGCCAAGGTATCGTACGCTCGTCAAGGTGTCGTGCGTTCATCACCTGGTGACAGAATGAGTGCAGGTACAGCGTGGCGATGCGGCGTGCTGTGCCATTCCCCTATACCTCCCGTAAAGCCTCCCGTCCCTCCCCCATGCTTCCCCGCAGCCGCGCCCGGCCAGGCATGGTCGGCGCTCGTCCCGTGGGGCTGCGCGCTGTACGCCTCTCAGGCGGGCGTCGCGGCGCGTATCATGGTGGGGCGCGCGGGAGAGGTGCCCATAGGGGAGGGCAAGGGAGGATGGGCCGACAGTGCCGCCGCTTCGAGCACTCTTCAATCCGAAGCTGCTGGCGCGGCGTCGGAGCAGCGTGGTGCGGGGTTGAGCGGGGGAGAGGGGGGTGCAGCAGGAGGCGCGGGGAGGCTAGTGGAGCAGCAAGGCCCGTCGATCAAGGAGGAGTCAGCGGGTGGTGCGGGCGGGGGTGATCAACCAGCACACTCTGCGGCTGTAGGTGCTGCAGCCGTTGAGGTTACGGATGGCGCGAGCACAGCCGTTGGGGCCTCAGATGGCTCAATCGCAACCGTTGATGCTTCACATGGCAGCACGTCCGCTGGCAGTAACAGCGGCAAGGCCGGGGGCTCGTCAGAGGCGGCGGAGCAAGCAGAGCAAGCAGCATGCGAGGGCGCTGCGCTGACAGAGGAGGCCGTGCGCGCATGGCAGGCGGAGGAACACGCAGCGTTTGGGCGCGTGCAGGTGGAGGGGGGCGTGGAGGGGAAAGGGGTGGAGGGCGGGCAAGGGGGCGTGGCGGAGGCGGGGGTGAACGAGGAGGTGTGCTTCACGGTGCGAGGTGAGGTGAGGTGCGGGGTGAGGGGCGAGGGGGAGGGGGTACAGGGTGAGAGGGGAGAGGGGGGAGGGGGGAGGGGGGAGGGGGGGAGCGGGGAGGGGGGAGAGGTCAGACTTGCAGTGATGAGCTTATGGGAGAGGCGGATGGGCTAAGTTGGCATTGGGGAGAAACGATGCATGCAGCGTGCGGCATGCTGCATTGGCCATGCCATGTTGTGAGAAGTGGAGCGGAGGGGGCTCTGGCCAGTGGGGGCTATGTGTGGCCAGTGGGAGCTATGTGTGGCCAGTGGGAGCTATGTGTGGCCAGTGGGGGCTATGTGTGGCCAGTGGGGTCTATGTGTGGCCAGTGGGGGCTCTGTGTGGCCAGTGGGGGCTATGTATGTGTGGCCAGTGGGAGCTATGTGTGGCCAGTGGGAGCTATGTGTGGTCAGTGGGGGCTATGTGTGGCCAGTGGGGGCTATGTGTGGCCAGTGGGGGCTATGTGTGGCCAGTGGGGGCTATGTGTGGCCAGTGGGGGCTATGGTGGGATTGGCTAGGTGATCTCATCTCTTTTGCGGTTCGTGCCTTTTCAATGTTTCCTGCTCCCCCCTGTGTGTGCGGCGTGCAGCATTGGATTCCAATGGGAGGGCATTTGACAACGGGTGCAGGTAGGCCGCTGCGTGAATGAGGTAGCAAATAAGCCACGGCTGCGTGAGTGAGGTAGCAAATAAGCCACGGCTGCGTGAGTGAGGTAGCAAATAAGCCACGGCTGCGTGAGTGAGGTTGCAAATAAGCCACGGTTGCGTGAGTGAGGTAGCAAATAAGCCACGGCTGCGTGAGTGAGGTAGCAAATAAGCCACGGCTGCGTGAGTGAGGTAGCAAATAAGCCACGGCTGCGTGAGTGAGGTAGCAAATAAGCCACGGCTGCGTGAGTGAGGTAGCAAATAAGCCACGGCTGCGTGAGTGAGGTAGCAAATAAGCCACGGCTGCGTGAGTGAGGTAGCAAATAAGCCACGGCTGCGTGAGTGAGGTAGCAAATAAGCCACGGCTGCGTGAGTGAGGTAGCAAATAAGCCACGGCTGCGTGAGTGAGGTAGCAAATAAGCCACGGCTGCGTGAGTGAGGTAGCAAATAAGCCACGGCTGCGTGAGTGAGGTAGCAAATAAGCCACGGCTGCGTGAGTGAGGTAGCAAATAAGCCACGGCTGCGTGAGTGAGGTAGCAAATAAGCCACGGCTGCGTGAGTGAGGTAGCAAATAAGCCACGGCTGCGTGAGTGAGGTAGCAAATAAGCCACGGCTGCGTGAGTGAGGTAGCAAATAAGCCACGGCTGCGTGAGTGAGGTTGCAAATAAGCCACGGCTGCGTGAGTGAGGTAGCAAATAAGCCACGGCTGCGTGAGTGAGGTAGCAAATAAGCCACGGCTGCGTGAGTGAGGTAGCAAATAAGCCACGGCTGCGTGAGTGAGGTAGCAAATAAGCCACGGCTGCGTGAGTGAGGTAGCAAATAAGCCACGGCTGCGTGAGTGAGGTAGCAAATAAGCCACGGCTGCGTGAGTGAGGTAGCAAATAAGCCACGGCTGCGTGAGTGAGGTAGCAAATAAGCCACGGCTGCGTGAGTGAGGTAGCAAATAAGCCACGGCTGCGTGAGTGAGGTAGCAAATAAGCCACGGCTGCGTGAGTGAGGTAGCAAATAAGCCACGGCTGCGTGAGTGAGGTAGCAAATAAGCCACGGCTGCGTGAGTGAGGTAGCAAATAAGCCACGGCTGCGTGAGTGAGGTAGCAAATAAGCCACGGCTGCGTGAGTGAGGTTGCAAATAAGCCACGGCTGCGTGAGTGAGGTAGCAAATAAGCCACGGCTGCGTGAGTGAGGTAGCAAATAAGCCACGGCTGCGTGAGTGAGGTAGCAAATAAGCCACGGCTGCGTGAGTGAGGTAGCAAATAAGCCACGGCTGCGTGAGTGAGGTAGCAAATAAGCCACGGCTGCGTGAGTGAGGTAGCAAATAAGCCACGGCTGCGTGAGTGAGGTAGCAAATAGTCCACGGCTGCGTGAGTGAGGTAGCAAATAAGCCACGGCTGCGTGAGTGAGGTAGCAAATAAGCCACGGCTGCGTGAGTGAGGTAGCAAATAAGCCACGGCTGCGTGAGTGAGGTAGCAAATAAGCCACGGCTGCGTGAGTGAGGTTGCAAATAAGCCACGGCTGCGTGAGTGAGGTAGCAAATAAGCCACGGCTGCGTGAGTGAGGTAGCAAATAAGCCACGGCTGCGTGAGTGAGGTAGCAAATAAGCCACGGCTGCGTGAGTGAGGTAGCAAATAAGCCACGGCTGCGTGAGTGAGGTTGCAAATAAGCCACGGCTGCGTGAGTGAGGTTGCAAATAAGCCACGGCTGCGTGAGTGAGGTAGCAAATAAGCCACGGCTGCGTGAGTGAGGTAGCAAATAGTCCACGGCTGCGTGAGTGAGGTAGCAAATAAGCCACGGCTGCGTGAGTGAGGTAGCAAATAAGCCACGGCTGCGTGAGTGAGGTAGCAAATAAGCCACGGCTGCGTGAGTGAGGTAGCAAATAAGCCACGGCTGCGTGAGTGAGGTAGCAAATAAGCCACGGCTGCGTGAGTGAGGTAGCAAATAAGCCACGGCTGCGTGAGTGAGGTAGCAAATAAGCCACGGCTGCGTGAGTGAGGTAGCAAATAAGCCACGGCTGCGTGAGTGAGGTAGCAAATAAGCCACGGCTGCGTGAGTGAGGTAGCAAATAAGCCACGGCTGCGTGAGTGAGGTAGCAAATAAGCCACGGCTGCGTGAGTGAGGTAGCAAATAAGCCACGGCTGCGTGAGTGAGGTAGCAAATAAGCCACGGCTGCGTGAGTGAGGTAGCAAATAAGCCACGGCTGCGTGAGTGAGGTTGCAAATAAGCCACGGCTGCGTGAGTGAGGTAGCAAATAAGCCACGGCTGCGTGAGTGAGGTTGCAAATAAGCCACGGCTGCGTGAGTGAGGTAGCAAATAAGCCACGGCTGCGTGAGTGAGGTAGCAAATAAGCCACGGCTGCGTGAGTGAGGTAGCAAATAAGCCACGGCTGCGTGAGTGAGGTAGCAAATAAGCCACGGCTGCGTGAGTGAGGTTGCAAATAAGCCACGGCTGCGTGAGTGAGGTAGCAAATAAGCCACGGCTGCGTGAGTGAGGTAGCAAATAAGCCACGGCTGCGTGAGTGAGGTAGCAAATAAGCCACGGCTGCGTGAGTGAGGTAGCAAATAAGCCACGGCTGCGTGAGTGAGGTTGCAAATAAGCCACGGCTGCGTGAGTGAGGTAGCAAATAAGCCACGGCTGCGTGAGTGAGGTTGCAAATAAGTCACGGCTGCGTGAGTGAGGTAGCAAATAAGCCACGGCTGCGTGAGTGAGGTAGCAAATAAGCCACGGCTGCGTGAGTGAGGTAGCAAATAAGCCACGGCTGCGTGAGTGAGGTAGCAAATAAGCCACGGCTGCGTGAGTGAGGTAGCAAATAAGCCACGGCTGCGTGAGTGAGGTAGCAAATAAGCCACGGCTGCGTGAGTGAGGTTGCAAATAAGCCACGGCTGCGTGAGTGAGGTAGCAAATAAGCCACGGCTGCGTGAGTGAGGTTGCAAATAAGCCACGGCTGCGTGAGTGAGGTAGCAAATAAGCCACGGCTGCGTGAGTGAGGTTGCAAATAAGCCACGGCTGCGTGAGTGAGGTAGCAAATAAGCCACGGTTGCGTGAGTGAGGTAGCAAATAAGCCCTGGCTGCGTGAGTGAGGTAGCAAATGAGCCACGGCTGCGTGAGTGAGGTAGCAAATAAGCCACGGCTGCGTGAGTGAGGTTGCAAATAAGCCACGGCTGCGTGAGTGAGGTTGCAAATAAGCCACGGCCGCGTGAGTGAGGTTGCAAATAAGCCACGGCTGCGTGAGTGAGGTTGCAAATAAGCCACGGCTGCGTGAGTGAGGTTGCAAATAAGCCACGGCTGCGTGAGTGAGGTAGCAAATAAGCCACGGCTGCGTGAGTGAGGTAGAAAATAAGCCACGGCTGCGTGAGTGAGGTAGAAAATAAGCCACGGCTGCGTGAGTGAGGTAGCAAATAAGCCACGGCTGCGTGAGTGAGGTAGCAAATAAGCCACGGCTGCGTGAGTGAGGTAGCAAATAAGCCACGGCTGCGTGAGTGAGGTAGCAAATAAGCCACGGCTGCGTGAGTGAGGTAGCAAATAAGCCACGGCTGCGTGAGTGAGGTAGCAAATAAGCCACGGCTGCGTGAGTGAGGTAGCAAATAAGCCACGGCTGCGTGAGTGAGGTAGCAAATAAGCCACGGCTGCGTGAGTGAGGTAGCAAATAAGCCACGGCTGCGTGAGTGAGGTAGCAAATAAGCCACGGCTGCGTGAGTGAGGTAGCAAATAAGCCACGGCTGCGTGAGTGAGGTAGCAAATAAGCCACGGCTGCGTGAGTGAGGTAGCAAATAAGCCACGGCTGCGTGAGTGAGGTAGCAAATAAGCCACGGCTGCGTGAGTGAGGTAGCAAATAAGCCACGGCTGCGTGAGTGAGGTAGCAAATAAGCCACGGCTGCGTGAGTGAGGTAGCAAATAAGCCACGGCTGCGTGAGTGAGGTAGCAAATAAGCCACGGCTGCGTGAGTGAGGTAGCAAATAAGCCACGGCTGCGTGAGTGAGGTAGCAAATAAGCCACGGCTGCGTGAGTGAGGTAGCAAATAAGCCACGGCTGCGTGAGTGAGGTAGCAAATAAGCCACGGCTGCGTGAGTGAGGTAGCAAATAAGCCACGGCTGCGTGAGTGAGGTAGCAAATAAGCCACGGCTGCGTGAGTGAGGTAGCAAATAAGCCACGGCTGCGTGAGTGAGGTTGCAAATAAGCTACGGCTGCGTGAGTGAGGTAGCAAATAAGCCACGGCTGCGTGAGTGAGGTAGCAAATAAGCCACGGCTGCGTGAGTGAGGTTGCAAATAAGCCACGGCTGCGTGAGTGAGGTTGCAAATAAGCCACGGCTGCGTGAGTGAGGTAGCAAATAAGCCACGGCTGCGTGAGTGAGGTAGCAAATAAGCCACGGCTGCGTGAGTGAGGTAGCAAATAAGCCACGGCTGCGTGAGTGAGGTAGCAAATAAGCCACGGCTGCGTGAGTGAGGTAGCAAATAAGCCACGGCTGCGTGAGTGAGGTTGCAAATAAGCCACGGCTGCGTGAGTGAGGTTGCAAATAAGCCACGGCTGCGTGAGTGAGGTTGCAAATAAGCCACGGCTGCGTGAGTGAGGTAGCAAATAAGCCACGGCTGCGTGAGTGAGGTTGCAAATAAGCCACGGCTGCGTGAGTGAGGTTGCAAATAAGCCACGGCTGCGTGAGTGAGGTAGCAAATAAGCCACGGCTGCGTGAGTGAGGTAGCAAATAAGCCACGGCTGCGTGAGTGAGGTAGCAAATAAGCCACGGCTGCGTGAGTGAGGTAGCAAATAAGCCACGGCTGCGTGAGTGAGGTAGCAAATAAGCCACGGCTGCGTGAGTGAGGTAGCAAATAAGCCACGGCTGCGTGAGTGAGGTAGCAAATAAGCCACGGCTGCGTGAGTGAGGTAGCAAATAAGCCACGGCTGCGTGAGTGAGGTAGCAAATAAGCCACGGCTGCGTGAGTGAGGTAGCAAATAAGCCACGGCTGCGTGAGTGAGGTAGCAAATAAGCCACGGCTGCG